GCACTGAGGCACCAAGAAGCAGCAGTGACCAGTTTATGTATGCCTCTGTCTCTTTAACTCTGGTGATGTGCAACTGTCTCCGAATCATCAGACTGTCCCCATTCTGAGGAAACACTTGGTTTCAAGCACACATTGAAGCTCTGATGACTCCAGCAAGACTTGTGCTTAATGGTAAACATCTGAGAAAAACATTGTTTGGGGACACAGTGGACTACAGAACATGCCTAACGGCTTTGCAGGATCCTCAGGTCAGACCCAGAGATGGGAATTGAAGTATTCCTGGCCAGTCTGAACATCCTTGGTGAGGTCCATGTCCATGATCTACCTCATTCCCTCCACCTCCCAGCAGCAACCAGGCCATTTATTGCCATTCTTTGTGCTGTTCAGGCCAGCACTAATTACTGTCCTCCTGGGACGGGGAGGGGGGATGGAGGGTGTGCAGGGAGGGTCTTGCAAAGTGGACACTATTGTTAGAAATTCAACTGATACCACAGTAATTCAGGGGTGTCTCACCAGCTGTGAGTTATCCTAAGATGGACTGAAGCAGCACGCTAGCTGGGAAAGTTTTTGCTATTTCCAGGGCTGAACACTGCGTAGATTCCTCGGTGTCTTTTCTGAACACATAATATATTTGGAAATAACTTAACTGAAAAGCCCCCAAGCAAGCAAACCCCAAAACAATCCAACCATCAAAAGCCTGGATTAAAGAGCACAGGTGGCAAGATATTGTTCTCTTCTGTGTGGTCCCTGATGCAGATGCCTTGTTTTCACAACACTGGTAATGAAAGCGTTTTTATTTTTGGACACTCTTTAGGGTACAATGTAATACATCAAAATAAATCATCGCATCATATGCCTGTTACAAATGAAAGCTGATGCACCAAATGTCAAGGTTGCTTGCTTTGATTAATCAATGAATATCACCAATTTTGCTAACAGTGCTGAGGAGAGGAATGGCAATGAAGGGAAAAATGTTGAGTTGATACAAAGATATAAATATATAGCTAAGATTTGCTAAGTTTGTGTAGATTATATTGTCAAGTCAGGCAAAATCTCCATTGGATCTGTAATTTAGCAGAGAAACTGTATACTGTTGTCCCTCTTTATTTTTACTTGTTAAATGAATTCAGTAACCGTCATATTTGAAAAAAAAAAACATTCTTTCAGCTGCAGTGGAGAAAACTTCTGATCAAATCAAGAGCATTAGCTTCAAGGCCACCATTCTTCCTATGAGCCAGGAAGTATCTATGTGATAAATTAACTATGGGTGAATGCAAAATCTTTAATGAGAAAAACCGTGCTCCGCTGAATTCAGCCTTTCATGTGGAAGCTGTTTGGGACCTTACTGAAAAGAATGTGTTAATCAAGAGAAAAGCATAATTACTATCTTGTCAACAGACACAAATAGGAAAGCCTGGTGAAAATGAGGTTGAAACTGACTCCAAAAAACACACACAGAAGGAGTTTTTCTATACAGTTTTCAAAGAGCCTGCCTTCACTGCGCAGTGATTTATGACAATTGGAATCTCACTATTTCTGCAATTAATATTACTGGATGCTTCCTATTCAGAGGAATTTTAATCATAATAATGCAAATGGAAGTATTATTGCAGCTAGGTCTCAGTTCGTATTTCATATTGAGTCAAAGGTTCAATATTCAGCATCCTTCTCAATAGAGCATTTGCATTGTATGGATAGATGAATGTGCACCAGAGGTAAAATAACTGAATTAATATAAACCAGAATAATAGGTCTGGCACATAGCTTCCCATTTTCCCATTTTGCTCTAAGGTCCTGATTGTTCAGGCTTTTTAAACCATTAATAAATTATTGCAATGCACTGGTAATTACACCTCACTGAAGTTGTGTACTGTATAAATTTCACTGGTGATGGACTTAGATAAGTTCCTTGTGCTTATTTTTAGAAAGTCAAAGGCAATTCATCTCCAACTAGGCCATGTTTAAAAGTTGAAAGTGAAAAAAATGTGCAATTATTTCCAAACATGAGGAGAATATTAGTGACAAACATTTTGTCCTGCAAGTTTTTTTGCACTAAATATATTAGTAAGAAAGGCAGAAGCAAGGACAGTTATTAATTTTGACATGTGTTTTAAAAATATAAGGTTTTATGAGTTTTGTTCATGCAAATATTTTCTAAATTGTCTTCTTCATGTTTTTACCTTTGTCTGTGTTCCCCTATATAATTTCTTAGATCATTATTAGTTTCTTTATGACTGCTGATACTCCTGGAAATATTTGGGTTTTTTCCTTTTTCATTCTTTATCTTTCTTTCTTTTTTTCTTCACATGAGAGGGAAGAAGGGATAATCATAATTTACTTTTTTTAATTCATGATGGCTTTTATTAAAAACTATGAACTTGAAGTTTCTGAGAATGTTTCAGAGCTAATTCAGAAACAGAATTACTATTTCAAAAAATAAACAGCCTACGCAGTTTAAGTCCATACTACAAATGCATTTCCCAGTCCTTTTCTATGTAGCAGAAGGATATTTTATATTTTCATCCAAAAGGAATGCAACTGTTGCATGAAAACTCTTTACCAGGAGGTGACAGTGGAGGAATTCATGCATGTGGGCAAGATGAGACCCTACTTTTTGGGGAACAAAGAAGTGCAGTCATAGAGCTTAAATGCCCATCACATGACGTTATTATCCTCTTGATAGCAAAGAAGTCCTTAGGTGGGACACACGTTTGAAACTTTGCAGATCTGTGCTCAAACCCAGTCCAAACTCCCCGTGTAACATCAAGGAGAACGCTTTGGTCTAGGTCTTCAGAAATATCTCAGCACCCAGCTGAGTGAGAAGGAGATGCACAAAGAACTTTTAGGACAAGATCCAACAGATATCACTATACATCTTATTCTGTATCCTGTGGTTTGGATCAAGCAGTTATGTGCTCTAGGTACCTGATGCTCACTTTTTCTGGCATCACTTTATATCCAGTTGGGTCTGGACTTTCAAAATGACATTCAGGTCATGATATAGATATGTACATACTAGCATGGAAACAGAATATTTAATTTATTCTTTTTTAGAAGAGATAAAATCACTTTAATAGTGCATTTTGTGAGTCATCCCAGTAATACACAGGCCTGGCACAATAACTTCTAGGAGAGAGGTGTAAATGCAAAAGCATCCATAACCTTTCAATTTGTAACCATGACTGCTCAAGGAGCAGAGCTGACCACCTCCTTATTGTCTCTGTGCTGGAGCTTATTCATAAAAATGAAAATAATAGCACTTCCTTACCTTGACAAGTAGTTTAAAAATACATATATTAAAAATCAGGAGAAATATGGATATTATGGCAGTGGGGGATCATAAATGTAACAGAGTCCTGAGAATGAACAGTTTAGTCTCACCTCCCCCTCATTTCCAGATCTCCCAGAAAAGCATTCTGGTGAGCAGTGGCCTCTTCTGCTTTTGTTTTCATTCTCATTGAAGTGAACGCCAGTGAGAAAGGAGACTCACAAAATTAATTCAGATTGGTTTAGATAAGGACTGTGTGATGTTGATTAAAAACCATCTAAGGGGCCATTAGCAAAGTGAGATAATAAATGAAAATGTGTTGAATCGCATGAATTTTCTAGTGGGGGAACATCAGGGAGCAGTCTTGAGCCCAGTCTTTAAACATCTTCATTCATTAGCTGAAAGACAGGAAAAGAGTATATGTTAATTAAAATCACAGATGATACAAATTGGGAGGCACTGCATAAATCAGTGAAGACAGAGAGATTAGAAACCTTAGGCAGGAGATCACAAAAGGAGATGAAGCTTAGAAAAACACGTGTGAGGGAGAAATAATCCATGCGAGGACACAATCAGCAGAAAGGAGAGTTGTGCAAGAAGCAGAATTAATGGGAGGAAGCCAAAGGATATGGACCATGGAGTAAAGGGCAATGTAGCAGAGCAGCTATTTAAAGGTGACCTTTGCACCTTTCCAGTGGACTGCTTGGATTCAAAATTAATTTATAACTGGCAAGACTAAAAGATCAGTGTAGGTTTGCACCATGTATGCAGAAACAGGTTGCCAAGGAAAGATGTGGAAGCTCACCTCTATAATAGCATGTTACCGCATCATTCATATTTCCTAATTTATTTTTTTTCCAATTCTGCAAGACCTCGTGCACCAGAGTGCATGTAAAATGGATGCATAAGAAGGAAGGCGGGTAGCCTGAGAAAGTTGCTGGCCCTGGTAAATGTGGCTTTCAAGGAAACTACACAATCCCAGTTGCTGCCATGTCTTCTCTACCTCCTCAGTCCCTACGAGACTTTGTCTTCCTGAGACAAGGAAAAGAGCTGAGTGAGGAGACTTGAGGCTAATTAGCTAATAAGAGAAAAGGAGCCCCAGTGCTGTGCCACTCTTTGTTTGAACCTCCTGCTTGTGGCATGACAGGTTTGTCACACATGCATCATTACTTTTAAACTGGAATTCTTCGATACCACAAGAAACTCAGATAAGATAAAATTTACTGATGGGAGTCGAAACAGTAAGAAGCGTCTGTGTAAGATCTTAGTCACTTCACTCTTACAAAGGTAAAAGATTCAAGGAAGGAAATATTTGAGAGAGCCACATAAACAAAAAAAAAAATCTTTCATCTCCTGAGCTCTAATTCTATGACTGTAAAATCACACAATAAGAAAGCAAATAACTACTCTTGGAACTACGGTAGAGGAACTGTTAAATTGCTCTTTTTGGTAAAGGCACGGGTGTTTGCACAGGTAGCCAAGGACAAGCATTTAATTCTAAGTGCTGTATAGAAAAACCTTATTTTGTATTTAACAAATACATTTATTTCCATGGGATGACTAAGTATGCACTAATATATCGCTAATGTGATATTATGCTAGGAACCACGTATGTACAGATGACTGTTTTATGTGCCCTCTCTAACTCTTAGCAATTGGTTTCTATTCATTTCAGATAGCAAATAACTTAAAAATCACTAAAAAAACACTGATTTTTCTCTATTGTTTACAGGTAGACTGAGAATAACACACGTCCAGGTTAAAACTGTATTCTACAAGAGATATTTGATGGATTATTCCTAGATATTTCTGAGAAGGCAAATAAGAAACGTGAGTACTAATTCCAGTACCTGGGGTGGGATGTTCTAATTGTGTTTTGATGGTTGAAATCAAATTATGATGGTTGTAATGCTTCTTGTGCATATTTCTCTAACTGCAGTCATGAGAAATTTCACTAATTTCTTTGGAACAAGTCTTTCATTGATCTATGTTTATTTTTTATTATCTGACAATGACTGGTGTTACAATCCCCATCAAGGATGCATTTTTACTGGGACAGGCACTCTAGAAACATCGACATTTTCTGGATGAAATTACTTACTTCTAAGAAAGAAGCCACGGATAGTGCCAGGCAGATGGAGACCCATGGATGTAATAAGAAAGTGCTGGTCAGCACGACAGGCAATTCTAATAGAGCACCTGCAGCCTAGCTCTTGTCAGGGCTTTCTAGATATTTCTGCAGAGAAACATGGAGAATAACAAGGTTATTTCATAGATATTTATGGGGAGCCGCATGGAAGAAAATACAAAAGCACTCATTTGAAAATGCAGCACATGGACTGTGGAAAATGGTTGTGTGGGTTGATTGGATCCAGACAGCCTAGTTTTGATATAAATGGAGAAGGGAAATCAATGCTATATCTGGGCAAATGGCCTTTGCATCCGGGGAATAGCACCAGGGCGCATTTACAGCTGAGAAAAATGAGAGAAAGGGATTCTGCAGGAATGAAGATGTTCAGTGGTGAAGTCTGAGGTAAGGGGTTTACCTAGGTGGATAGATAAGAGAGAAAAGGTGTTACCTAAAGCGTTACACAGAACAGATCTGCAAGGCTTCAAAGTATCTGGGAAGTGGCATCTGAGAGAGGAGTGTGAGTTGAAGCTGATATCAAAGTTATGGGCATTTGACAGGACGATGGCGTTGTCTGCAGTGATAAAGGGGGAAGGTTGCTTGGAGGTCATGGCTGGGACTCCTCAAATGGAGAGAAAGCAAAATTGAGATGTTTGAGTACGTAGAAAAAGAAGAGCAAAGAGTAGAGAAGCAGAACCACAATTCAAAGAATCACAGAACATTTGGGCTCGGCAGGGACCACAGGACATGACCTAGTCCAACCACTTGCACAAAGCAAGCTTTCCTAGAGGAGGTTGCTCAGGACAGTGTCCCTCTGACTTTTTAATAACCCAGTGAGTGAGGACTCCACAACCTCTCTGGGAAACTTGTTCCACAGTTTGAGCACCCTCAGCGCAAATAAGGTTTTACTAATGTTCAAATGGGGTATTCTCTTTTGTGTCATCTGGAAACTTCCTGAAGATGCAGTCTGCCTCATCCAGGTCATTAGTGAGAGACTTAATAGTGTTGGACGCAGTATCAATCTCTGGAGTCTGTCTATCACCAGTGACAGGTCTCTGGCTGGAATTAATGCCACTGATACTTTGAGCCTGGCATTTCAGGCAGTTTTCAATCCACCTCACTGTCCATTTATTTAGGCCATACTTCAACTTTTTATCAGTAGGGGTGTTCTGCAAGAGTGTCAACACATTATTAAAGCCAAGACATGCAACATCTGCTGCTCCCCTCTCATCCACTGAGCAGTTCGTCTTCCCTCAGATAGTGATTAGGATGGTTACACATGTTGTCTCTTCCATAAATCCATGCTGACTACTCCCACCTACCTTCTTGTCCTTTATATGCCTGTAAATTATTTCCAAGATTATTTGCTCTATAACCTTCGCAGGAACCAAGACTAAGTGGCCTATAGTTCCCTGAATCCTCCTTTTTGCACTGCCTAAAGATAAGAGTGTCATTTGTGTCCTTCCAGTCCTTATGAACCTTCCTCAATTGCTACAGACTTTTAAAGTTAATTGAGAGTGGCCTCACAAGAACATCAGCCAGGTCTTTCAGCACTCACGAGGATGTTCTATCAGGTCTCATGGACCTGTACATCTCCAGTTTGTTCCCTAACCTGATCCTCCTTCACCAGGGATAAGTTTTCTTTGCTCTAGACTTTCCCACAACTCTCAGACACTTGGGGTGGCTGAGGACAAGTCTGACCTGTAAAGACCAAGGTGAACAGCACTTTGAGTACCTCTTCCACGTCCTTTGTCACTGTGTCCTCTGCCCCATTCAGCAGGGACACAGCATTATCCATCTCACGTATCATCATCTGCCTGATGTTAACATTGAAGTTACGTTTGTGGGTTAGATTACAGAGAGTAGTGAGAGTAGAGAAAGGATCCAGAGCATTCAGAGTTAGAAGGAGGCATAATGCAGATTTATCAAAGGGGAAACAGACAAATAAGACAACCTGGAGAGGAACTGAGGCAGCCAAAGGAGAGAAAAACATCAGAAATGAGAGACTAAGTAGTTGGCTGCCTCAGGCAGCTGATAAAATAGGGAGGAATTGTATGAAAAGGTCTAAAACAGAGCTGGTGATTGGGGAG